AGAGGTTGATTAAGTGGTGATAATATAGGTATTAGTAATTAGATATTGACCAAACTGCTATTCATAAAAGGTAGTTGTGGACGATTCAATTTTTTTCAATAATTTAGTAAATAAATGCAGTCCAAAGTTATTTTCTTTTAACTCCTTAACTGACCTAATCAGTTAATTCTTTAGTGGCATCACGTTATTTTCTTCCAACTCTACGAATTAACTGACTTATTCGGTTATTTTTTTAGTGGTATCACGTTTTTATGTTTTAGTGGCAAATGGACAATCTGTACTCAGTTACACACTCACTCATACTTCATGCAACAAAATAAGCAACGATATTCACACTTTCATATTACAAGTTCTTTTTTTTTTACTTAATATTTTTCAATTGAGTTTTAATTTTTTTTAATTTGTATTGTGCAGGGTTTAAAAATTCTGAATCTAACAAGAAGAGACATAAAGTTATCTGTAGGTTCTTCATCATTTAGAGGAAGGATGAATTGTCATTTGAATGAAATTTGAATTGAAGATAATTACTGGTCTGATTTCATATACAACTGGGAAGGTACAACACATATACATGGCATGCATTTGTGGTTGTCAACACATATACAACTGGGAAGGATGAATTGTGGTTCTTCAAGGCCGGTTATGATTCCAAAAATATTGGCCGTCAACTTGCCGATTCAGACCCGAAAATGGCGGACCGGGCCGTTTTACCACGTCTAGATACATAGGATGAGTTTAACGTCATCAATTTTGAACTCCTTTCAAATTTTAAAGAAGACAACTTTATTTGATAGTTTCTTATATCATGACAATTACCAAGAGTCAGATAAGACTTTTTTGAATGTTGGTTCATACATGAATAACTTGCCTTCAGTCATGGTCAACTCGGTATTATTGTTTTTAGAGTTACAAATAATGAATTTTAATATTAATTTTGTCACGCTAAAAAAAAAAAGCACGCCAATAAAAGATATTATACATAAGAAAAAATTTAATAATATATAAATAAATCTTTGTAAGATTTCACTTTTTTTTGCACTTATATCCTTTTTATATATCTTTCGTGCATTTGCACGGGCAATCGTACTAGTAATAAAATGAATAGGGAACAAAAGGTATCCCTTCTTTTTTTTGGTACTTGGCGCCTGGCGGTTTTTCCCGATTGTCCCGCCGAGTCTCGGCTCTCGCAATCAGTGATGCTAACGTGCGCGCCCTTGCTAGCTCCGTAACCTTTCTTCGCTCGCTGGCTCACCACCTTCGCAATTCCATATGATTCAAGCCCTCAAATTAGGGTTACGGTGTCCAAGTCCAGTGTGGTACATATCACCTGCGCAAAGATTATTTTTTTCCCTGCAAAAGGTAGCTCATGTTTTGGCTGACATTTGATTTTCTAGCAGCTTTTCCACGGTGAATTATAGGGTCTCCACGAACTGTTATCCGTCTCGTTTGTGCGTGAAAATGACCTCGAAAAGGCTCCATTCCAGTTCACGAGCACCCGTTGCAGAGAGCTCGGGCGAGTCAACTCGCGTCAACGTGCCGAAATCGGAAAAGGGTGCCTCAAAGGTCACATTTTTATCGCTCATATGCATAATTTAATGTGCGTGCTTTGATGGGTGTGTTGGATTTATGTCTTATTTTGAGCTGTGTGGTGTGAAATTAGTGGGTTTTTGCTTGTGGTGTAATAGGTGTCTGCTGGGGAGAGTGGGATTCTTGTGGATGAGTTTGGTGCTATCGATAAAATGACTGTTCAGGAGCTCAAAGCGAGGTTAAGGTAACTGTAATTTTCAATTTTTTTCCATTATTCTTTTGTCATTCTGTAATTTTTGTGTTGTTAGTGGTGGGAGAACGGAGAGGATATAAGAAGTTTGGTTAATTTTGTTTTATTTTGTGCTAATGAACTTGGTGGGTTTTCTTGGATTATGCATCACCAAAGAACTAGTAATAAATGTTCGACTTTTTTGATCTGCAGCTCTATATATATTGTTTTCTTTCCCCGTTACTTGGTTTGTGTTCTACTTGTATCTGTGAATGCAATTGTTAATTCATTTAAAGTTTTTGGTTTTTTGAACTTGTAGGAGTATTGGGGCTCCTGTGAAAGGTGCCAAGCACGAACTTGTCTCTGCATTGAAGAGCTTTATGAACAGTAATGCCGATGGTATATTCTTTTTGCATTGTACTGTTTGTGGTAATTCATTGGTTCTGAAATCATTATCATGCTATATTTTTATTCTAACGTGGAATAGATTATATCAGGCAAAGTTGAAGTTCCTTCAGATCAAGAATACCAAGTTATCTCCAAAAGGAAGGTCGAACGAACAACTGAAGCCCATAGTGATCAACTTGCAAACAATGTTTCGGACATTTCAGGAAGTAAAAGAACAAAAAGGCAAGCAAAATCTTTACAGAATGAGGAAGAGCTTATTGTGGAATCAGTTGAAATAAAAGGTGATTGTAACTTATGTATTTGAATTATGGTCTGCATAATCACATTCTTCACATTTTTCTTTGATGGGTCATTACTTTTTTTTTTTTTTTNGATGAAAAATCAAGACAGGGGGATAAGAAAGTCTCTTCAAGGACCACGAAAGCTCGTTTGAATGTCGAGTTTTCTGTGGATGAACCTTGGACTGTTCTTACTCATAAGAAGCCACAAAAAGAGTGGACGGCCTACAATCCTCGGAGTATGAGGCCACCGCCTATTGATGCCGATACTCCACATGTGAAGCTATTGTCTTGGAATGTAAACGGGTTGAGAGCCTTGTTGAAGTTGGAAGGTTTTTCGGCTTTGCAACTTGCGCAGAGAGAAAATTTTGACGTGTTGTGCTTGCAGGAGACAAAGTTACAGGTGGGTTTTCACTTCTTTTGTCGATATATTTGAGGTAACTCGGACTTTTCTGGTGTTTAAATAGGGTGCGCTGTGAAACTCTTGGGATTTTGTATAGCGACTAAAACGGGTGGGACATGGCATGTTTATTTGTTAAGTTAGGAGTGAGAGCAGTGCAATTTTACTTTTAATTTGAAAGAAAGATTAGAGTTCATTTGCATGTCATTAACTTTGTGGCATAAGAGACTCATGACATATAGTTGAAAATGCATGAAGAAAAATGCTCAGATGAAGTATATATTAAGTGTTTCAGAATATTCAGAAAAAAAGGGGAAAACAAATCCTTTACACTGAATTTTTTTATGTGGATAGGCTACAGGGCTTAATCCTAGCGGGCAATGACCCAAAAAATAATTTAAAATCATTAGATGATTTAACATTATGGTGAATCTATTTGTTTTTAATCTGAATCAGGAGAAAGATGTTGATGCAATCAGGCAATCTCTCCTGGAAGGTTATGATAACAGCTATTGGACGTGTAGCGTCTCGAAACTGGGGTATTCAGGAACAGCTATCATATCACGGGTAACCTTTATTTTCTTGTTTTCAAACATTCCTCGTTGCATTTAGTAATTATGATACAACTTGATAAACTTTTATTTTACTGTTGGAAACAAAAGGCACATGCTATTTTGGTTTTTAACGATCTACCTTTGACAAAAATCATGTCAGTAATTCTGTTTCTAAATGCTTGTGCTCGTTATGTAATTTACTAGGATTGGCTTAATTAAAAAAATATTTGAAGTTCATTTAATTCTATCAATCGTCTTGTGAAGCATTATGGTTCTTTTTCTTTTTACCCTTTTGCAGATAAAACCTCTTTCTGTCAGATATGGTTTGGGCATTGCGGATCATGATAGCGAAGGTCGCCTCGTGACTGTAGAGTTCGAGGACTTCTATTTATTGAATAGTTACGTTCCTAATTCTGGTGATGGTCTAAAACGACTGGTAAAAGAACTTACGACCCCTCTTATATATATACTAATTAATATTTTTGCTCATAATTATTTAGTTTCAGGACAATGACTGATAACAATTCCTTTTGTCTGTAGTCATACAGAATAACTGAATGGGATCCTTCTCTGAGCAACTATATGAAAGTAAGTCTCGTTCAATGGTATACTCGCGTAAAATCGTAAATAAAACTGCATAACTTATATAACTATAATTGCATTTGATTTTTCTTATATTATTCTGTTATTTAGTTGGAAAATTTTTGCCATTTACAGGACCTGGAAAAGTCGAAGCCTGTTATTCTGACAGGTGATTTGAACTGTGCTCATCAAGAAATAGACATTCACAATCCAGCTGTGCGTAAAATATATCTCACTTCCGTGTTATTTTCAACTTTTCCTTTTGAATACTCAGAATATCCATCATAAAGATACCATAAATTATATAGCTCGAATCTACGCGAGATGTTTGAATTTCGGTATCTTATGATCAGGGGAACAAAAGGAGTGCAGGCTTCACAGACGAAGAAAGAAAGTCATTCGAGACGAACTTTTTGGACAGGGGCTTTATCGACACTTTCAGAAATCAACATCCGAACATTGTTGGCTATACTTATTGGGGGTATAGACACGGTGGAAGAAAAGCCAACAAAGGTAATTTTTACATCAGTGAACAAACTCGAGCAAACACAACCTTTAAAAAAAAAGAAAAAATGGAAGAAAAAGAAAAGGAAGAAAGAAAAGAACCTCATGTGTCTAAATTGTCAGTATTTACAAGATCTTATATGTAGTGATCTTTAAAATGGTTTTGCATGGGGCTTGTACCTTGCCCTGAAATTTAAGGTTTCCCATATTTATGAAACAAAACTTAGCTGGGGTGTGATTTGGTCGAAACAGCATATGATGATATTCGAATTGTGCTCGATGGTTTTGAAGAATTGAGTTTTGAGAATATTTACGTCAAATGAATCAATTTTTATTTGCACATTTACGAAGTTCTTTTAATATTGTAAGTGTACTAAATTTCGTTGTTTATAAATGGTTGATTTGTGTTTTATTTTTGTCATTGGGGTTCTAATTCTAATTGAATTATTTTTTGGTTTAGCTTTTGGTTCTATTTGAATGGTTGTATTTTTACAGTCTGTAAATTGGTAAAAGAGCCTTGAGTTTTTAAACATATTTGGTTGGATCTTAATAAAGCAAATGAATTCAAATTGCATGAGATTCTTGAAACTTTAATAAGGTTCAAATATTTTTGAAGCTAGGGATCAAAATCCAGCAAAATTTAACTACATAAAACTAAAACCATCTGCACTTGGATCTTAAAAAACACCAAATTATAATAAGACAACAATCATAGTAAAAAAACTATTTCTTTAGGGAAATTTGTCAAACATTATAAGCTCAATAATGACTACAAATGCAGATTGCTTTTAGCTGTACTCTTTTTTTTTTAGTAATCTCAGATCCTACAACTCTAGAAAATCTCAACCATTCAAAAAACCACAAAAAAAGCCAAAGGAAACTAACTCAAACAAGTAGAACAATAACAATGAACATCTTTATAATCTCATCAAATCAAATTTGAACCCCAAATTCCATCTATCCTCTGAAGCTAACAAAGGCCATCTTCTCTATACACCTAAAAACTTGGCCAAAAATAAGAAAAGAGCATCTCAAGTCTTACATCAAGAACTAAGCACGTTCGATTTTTTCCGAGTCTTCACTCAAGAAACACGTTTCCAATTCTCCCGAGCTCTTACACCTTGACCCGTGGGCCCACACAAGCTCAACCCATTATTCCACTCTCCATAACCATCTCGTCCGCCTTCTTTCCCTCGATACGCTCCACCCGAGCCATTATTATCCGCACGAGCCTCCAGAGCCTCGTAGCTCGACACCTGTCCACCATTGTTTTCGACATATGGGCCCACATAACCGTAATAATTACCATAATAGCCCCAGCCCCAGTCGTTACTATTCCAACCGTAGTTACCGAATTCGTTTCCATACCCATATTGCCACCCATTATCATATTCATACCATCCAAGATTCCAGTTTTGCCCCTCGTAGCTGACGTGGCATTTATTATTATGATTGCCCGAGCTTTCGAAGTTTTCGGCTTCATCACCCCATCCTGCAAGGGATAACCCGTGATTCGCTGCGAACGAGTCTCCAAAGATAACGACGGGCTCAGTACAGCCAGTGTTAGGGGAATAAACGGGCTGTGGGCTTTCAGAGTCGGGACAGGCATCAGGGGCAATTTCGGAATTCCAGTCGATTTTATCGATATAAAGATTTGGATCGGGCAGCGGGAAGTCGCAAGAAAGCCCGTTTATCTGGGCCCAATAACGGGTTTTTGCATGGCGAAATGCCTCCTCACCGGCCGAGTCATCCCACTTTATCACGTTATCGTAAAAATGCATGCACTTCTTCATCTGAAGAAGTTTTTGCCAATCGAGCGAGCACTCGTATTTGCAGAAATCCTTTTCCCATGAGGGGACCGAGCACTGCCAAGAAACTTAAACGAGAGAAAAAGGACAATTTTTTTTTTAATAATATTTCTAGAATGAGATTTTGGTAGATTCTTAGAACACTTAAAATGGAACGACCAATTACTAAGCTGCTCGACAAATAATTTCCGACGAAAAACTCGAGCTGCTCAACAAATAATTTTCACATCATGAGGAGTTCATGAAATATTATTTGGATTGAACCAAGTAGAAGTTATGGGATAAGATATTTTCCTTTTATGTTGGTAACTAATAGTTTGAAATTAAACAGATCACTGATTTATTATGCCTTTATGGTTATAAACTCAAAAAATCACAAACTGCAGGGAAAAAAAAAATGG